AAAAAAAAAAAAAAAAAAGTAACTTTTACATATGAGAGGCCTTATGCCCTATGCTCTACATACTACCTCTATCCCTGAGGCCACCCTTTACAATAACTACCCCATCTCACTGTAAGGAAACAGGCAGGGGAGGATAGCATGCCCAAGGTCACACTAACGCAAGGATTCTGACCAAGTTGGTGAGGTGATTTTCTCCAGCAGCCTGGGGTCAGCGTAACTAAATGGTCCTCTTTGGGTTGGGGTAGCTTTGTAGAATATTAAGTCATTGGATTGAGTCTCACCATGTCACATGAATACAACTTACAGCAAAGTTAGACTAGTACTTGAATTCATTCTCATTTCAACTTAATTCATTCGTTTTTAAGCTTAATTTTTTTCTGTCCTGACTAGGTATTTTAATTACACCCTGCTGCCAATCACCAGTTTTTAGTCCTCTGAGAGTTTATTACATGTGTTTTTCATGCTTCTCTCCAGATGTAATAAACTAGGATAGGAACAAGTAGCACTTTTGGTAACTGCCGTTCCGGTTGACATGTCTCCGGTATCAGATGTTCTCTAGCTATGCTTACCTAGCTAAAAAAATTTATTTTTATCATCTCATTTTCTCATCTGGTTTACAAAGTTATCTTGAAATATCGAATCAAAATGTGCTGAGGAGAAGGGTATAATGAAATAGAGTCCAGAAACCTGGTGTCAGATTTTATCTTCCATCTCTACTGAGCTGAGTGACTTCAGTAAACCACTTAATCTGAGTATCAGTTTCCTAGTCTATACGAAGTGTCTAATATCACCACCCATGATGGTCCTATCATTCGTGTACCCTTAGATGCTTCTGACTATCACATAGAACAAAATTCACTGCTCTTATTCACTTCTACAACTGTGTAGCAAGACAGGTGGCACCTAAGCCCCTGGATGCCTACTACACTGAACCTGTTACTTTTTTCTTAATCTGGGGGGGAAGGAGGACTGGGGATTGAACCCCGGGCCTTTACAGTGACTTACATAGGTGGGTGGAGGGTTGGGGAAGACAAGGCCTCCCGAGTTGCTAGACTGCCCAGCCTCAGCCTCAGCCTCCCAGATTATATGCTGGGATTGTAAGTGTGTGCCACCACCTATTTTTTGTGATAAGGGTGTTGTAAAACCTTCAAACATGAAAATAGCAGCTGTTAAGAGAGCTATTAAGAGGAAGGGAGGTTAGTTTACTACATCTTGGTCTGATGTAGCAGACTTCATTTTTAAAGGGCTTACAAATAATAAAAGAATCTTTTCTAGGCTTTTACATGAAATTGGTAGAACTTACTGATCTACAATTTAAAATACAGTTGCTTCCTATTCAGGGGAGTTAGGGCTACGGTGGTCTATTTCTAGACTGCTATTCTCCAGAGATTATTTCAGGTCAGCGAGGATAATTCTGCAGTCTATTTGCCAACTCTTTCAAACTCTTGAGTCCAAGGACTTAAAACACGTTTAGTAGTTACATATTGCTCTTCTGGGTACCAGTTTGAGCCTCAATTCACTGCTAATAATTATTCCCCTGAGCTGCAGAGGTAGCACAAGGGCAGAGCACTTATTTTCCTGGCATGCGCGAGACCCTGGGTTCCAACCCCAGTCCCACATACCCCTGTCCAGTTTGAAACACAGTAGCAACAAGTCAGCCCAAAGGTTGAGGACATGAGCGGACCCCACCATAACGCATGAACATGTGGCCTTGTACTCACCAGTCTGTACAGGTTATCTGTCTCTTTGTCCACCACCAACAGTGACGTCTCATCTCCCCCCTTTTTAATCATTTCCACCACACTGTCATGATCAAGGGTCTCCACAGACTCGCCATTGACGGCAACTACCAGGTCGTTTTTCTTCAAGCCTGCCGCCTCTGCTGGACTTCCAGAATCTATGTCCTTGATGGTTTGACCTACCCTCACCCCCCCAAAATTAAATTATCAGAAAAGATACTAAACAAACTGTGGAATTTCTGCTGGAGGCCAAGGCCCTGCTGAAACATAAGGAAGGTATGCTGGGCACAACTCCCTTCCCCTGCATCCCAGAGAAGCACCCTATCTGGGCTCCTCCCCAGGAACAAACCCAACCACTCAGCAGTGAAAGGATCTTAAAGGAGTAAGAATCAGGTTACTAAAAATGTCTGGCATTCAACCTTGACAGGATAAACAGGCTAGACACTAAAGGTCAACAAAACTCCCAGGTGAGCACACTAATATCCATAAATCTTAGAGAAACTAAGCCATAAGAAGGGGGAGAAGAAACAACAAAGATTTCAGACCTCTGGAAACCTATCTGTCTTAGCAGTCGGGTGTGTCCAGTTGAGTATTGTGTGTGCCTGGTGGTGTGGTTAGCTTCCTTCTGGCTTCAGCTGTTTTATCAGATGCCCCCGCCATCTCACACCTTTCCTTGTCCCTCACACTTTTTTAACAAGCTTCCATTTTGACTTTTCCACTTAGCTGCTGAGTATCTCCCACAGAATACCTCACATTCTCTCAGTGTATCGCTTTCAAACCAGACTTCATCTCTGCCCATTTCCCGTCAAAAGCCCCTGCTCTGGTCGTCCGTGACGTGCCACCCCTCCCATCACACTGGCAGTTGGTTCTTCCCCAGTATCCACTCCCACGTCTAGTCAACCACCAAGTCCTCCCGCGCTACCTTCAGACTTTATACATCATTCTTCTCTGGGACTATTTCCTCTCCCAGAATGCACCTTGTGTCAGTTCTCGCCCAGAACTGCAGCTTACCAGGTGCTCGCCCTTCCTCAGTCCTTCCCTTCACTATGGGCCCCTTCAGATCCATCGTGCTGCTCCTGTCCTCTCGGGTCTCTCCCCAGAACAACAGTCTGCACCGGCTTCGTTGGAGCCCAGCTGTACCTCACTACTTAACCTTACGTCTCGGACTCGTCCACGTGCTCAGTTCCGGCAGCTCCTCTTGCAGAACTGTTAGTAACAGATGTATGACGCCCCCAAGGTATGGTAAACTTCAGGTGTTTTCCTTCGCCCTCACACTGTTCAAAAAACTTCTCTCTCCCCATCAGTTATAGAACCAAGGCCAAACTCTCTCCCCTGCCATTGAGCCTCCCTTATTTCTGTCCAACCTACCTTTCTAACTTGAATTCTTGCATAACACGTCAGGCACCAACCAAACTGTGCCCATGTTTATGTGACTTACCTTCCTGGGATCGCCTTCCAACTGCAGCCTCCACTCCACTCTTCCAAAATCTATCCATCTTGTAAGGCCTGCGCTCAAGGCCCACCTCCACTAGAGGGTCTCCTGGTAGCTTTTGAGTGGGAAAAGCTTGCTCTGACCTTGACATTCCACGGTGGTTTATCTGCTCCTAGATTAAGGTGCTTATCACTACCTTCAATCATGGATACGTGTGGCTTATCCCCTGTACTAACTATATCTTGACTGGAGAATCCTGTTTGACTCACTTGGTAGCTTCAAAGGCCCTGAGGATTTGGGGGGTTGCTGTTGTTTGGGGGTTTTTTGTTTTGTTTTGGTTTGGTTTGGTTTTGATTTTTTGAGACAGGGTCTCACTACAGTAGTTGAGACTGACCTGGAACTCACTATGTAGCCCAGGCTGGTCTCAAACGCACAGGGTTCTTCCTGCCTCAGCCTTGGTGCTGGGATTAAAGGCGTGAGCCACCACGCCTGGTTTAGATTTTTAAATAACATAAACCAAAACAAGAGCTTTATGTGTTTGCCTTACTTTCCCTGTTTGGTTACAGAGAAGCAGAAAGATTCCCATTTCTGTTCCAATCCCAGGTCCTGCCCCATACCACTGCCTCCACCTAGATGTGTGCAGGAGATGCTGCCACAGGCACAGGAGAGCCACTCAGTGCCAACTGTGCAAATGTGTGTTCAGAGACATCACGCTGGTAGCTTGAAATCACGTATGGTGCAGATATTCACACCACACATACACACACAAAAAAAAAATCAATAAATGCTATACACTAGGACTTTTTGTTTTTTGTTTTTCAGAAAGCCAATTAACATCACTGCCTGGATCCCAAACTCTACCTTATTCCGCCGTGGTGACTTTATTATTAGCTCCCCCAAGTGACATAGAAATTGATGGCTTCCCAGGTCCTGGCCACTCTTCTCATGTTTGTGTAGGGAATTGACCTCCTGGGCCTTGAGACTCAGATTGGGATGGGGCCGAGAATTTAGCTCAGTGGCACCGCGCCTGCCTCACAAGCACAAGGTCCTAAGTCTGATCCCCCATACCGAAAAAAAAACCAAAAACCCAAGTCAGATGGATGAAGAACTGGGTGGTGACGCTGCCTGATTTCCTCTCTTCTAGGCCTCACCTTGCCCTTCTGGGCCCTGCTTCAGGTAGAAACCATAGCCGTTGCTTCCCTTCTTCATCTCCACGACTCGAGGCTGGCGGGGCAGCAGTTTCAAGCTAGCGGTTTCCCTCTTGAATTGTATCTTTTGTTCATGATGGTGCTCCTCAGTTTCTTTGTCCACAAGGAGGAACATGACGCGGTTTCCGGACTTCTTCACCTGCGACAACACACAGATGGGCAACAGCAGGAACCCCCAAGAACAATGCCGGGGATACGACGGTCTCGGTGTAAAGGCCCAGTCTCTGTTCAACAGAAAGCATGGGGTGCATGGCCTGCTTTTAAGCCATGATACTATTTACTGTTACTTATCTATCTCCACTCCTATAGCTGCTATTCATCCCTTTATGTACAACCTCATCCACAGAGATATGAAGGCAGAACCGAAATTCAGAAAACCCAGAAAGCTGTGCAGGTGAAGGCCAGAACAGGAATTTTGAGAAGAAAGGACCCACTCAGACCATTCTACAAGGGGAGAGAAGGTTGGTGAATTTAAGGTTCTTTATGACCTTAAAGGAAAACCCACTATTCCAGCGCGCCAAGGGCCTTCCCATATTCGTGTGTGCGGCCCTGGACAGTAGCCCCCTGCCCTCCGCCCTTCCACTTTCTGCAGTTTCAGTTAGCCCAGGTCAGCCACACTCCAAAAATATTAAGTGAAGAACTTCAAACATAATAGGCTTTAGGGTGCATTGTTCTGAGTAGTGTGATGAACTCTTGTGTGAATCATCCCTTTTCCCAGGGTATCCATGATGTAGGCACTCCTCTTGCTGTTAGGTTTTTCCTCTACATACGCACCTATGATAAAGGTCAGTTTATAAATTAGGAACCAGGGATGAACTCAGTGCTGCTGCACCCGCCTCGACCAGTGCAAGGTCCCGAGTTCAATCCCCAGTACAGGAAATACGTAAGGCACAGCCGGACGTGGTGGAACACACCGTGCAATCCCAGCACTCTGGGAGGCTGGGAGGCTTGGGGGCTGAGGTAGAGAATTTCAAATTTAAGCCCAGCCTGGGCAATTTAGCAACTTAGTGAGACCCTGTCTCAAAATAAAAAAGAAGGGCCAGAGATTTAGCTCAGTGGTGCCGCTGTTTGCCTTGCAAGTACAAGGTCCCCAGTTCAATCCCCGGTACCAAAAAAAACAAATAAATTAATTAAAATTTAAAATAGCTGGGGATATAGCTCAGCGCAAAGACCCTGGGTTTTTAATCCCAGGTACCACTACCCCCAAAGAAGGCATAGTAATGGTGGCCTGCCTCACAAGTGCAAGTAAGTGAAAAACAGGAAATAATAAAAACAGCTATAATAAAAAGTTATTTAAGACTTACACCCTGTGAACTGTGTATTTCTGGAAACTGCCACTTAACATTTTCAGATGCGGCTGCCCACAGGCAAATGAAACTGCAGAAAGTAGAACTGCGGGTGGTGCTCACTGGACAAATAAGACCCACAGAAAGGGGGATGTTTCTTCAGACTGCTAGACCTGAGACTAGCAAAGGCTTTATTTCAAATCCCTGTATTAACACTGCTTATGCCACTAGTGAGTCTGTTCACCCTCAAGTCAGAGGGGCAAACAACCCTCCCATCATAACCTCATCCCAGACCCAACCACCCGACTTCCTGTCACTTCCAAGGTGAGTGAAAGGGTAGGAGCAGCAGCCACGGGTGGCGTGGAGGGTGGGGTATCACCTTTTCAACCACTTCCTTGTGGCTGGCGTCCTCTACATTTTCTCCATTCACTTCTATCAAATGATCATCGGGGAGGACCCCGGCTCTCACAGCCACGCTCTGAGGTATTATGTCGGTCATGTGCACTCCCTTTTTACCTGCAAGATGGTGGAGAGGCGGGTGAGCTCCAGGGCACCAAACCAGAAGTCCAGTGTCCCGATGGATTTTTCCTAACGTGAAATCAGGACTTGTAGGGCCAACTCAGTCCCCTCAGCTTTTGATCTAGAATCCATATTACAGTTCCTAGCACAAAGCTATTACTCAGCAGATACTTAATCTGAGCTCAGACAGATCAAGGAGAGCCTCTCAGGTGACACTGGCCTCCTGAAGCAGAAAGCGCCCAACTTTACCCGCCCTGCAGCACGGTCACACTGGCTTTCTTTGCATCTATACAATCAGAAGGCATCTGCTCTGTTGCCTCCTCCTCTGGTGCTATCGCCAACACCCACCTACGAGTCAGCATCTCACTGAGGCAGGCTTACAAGTTCAGAAGCACAGAAGGGAGAGGAAAGCACGCGTGCTTTGAAAATGTGATCCGGGTGACACTTACACACTCTGAAGTCTTTCACTTCAGTCTAGGCAAAATGCCTGCACAAACAACTTGTGAGGAATAACTTCATTCCTTTTTCCTTAAGCACCTCACGTTTCTCTCGTTATATATTTGTCGCAAAGAAAACATTTTCTCTGTAAAGCTAACCACGGACCATGAGCATTAGCACGAAAGCCAAATGAGTAGAATCTGAAGCATAATTTTTACCGCTTCACGGATAATAAACTCCTAAGAAATGCTGAGCTTCCTTTGGCCACACCATTGTGTTCAACAACTGGAAAACTTGGGAATCCTCTTATCATTAGTTTATATGTTAAGTATGGATGGCAACTTTAAATTGATGATTGGTCCTTTATCAGTTACTGAATTACGACCAATCACCAGTGCCAGAAATAACACTGGGCAGAGGGCAACAAGAGAGATGGCACCGGCCAGCTAACATCATGTCCCCCGCATCCAACCAGTGTCACAGGGAAGCCCATGAAGAACTCCAGTCAGCTGAGCGCAGGCCAGTCTGCACTTCTAAAATGGAGCTCTAGTACTTGCTGACATCCGGGTTTCTCAACTAGGAGTCTCTCAGCTAGAAGTCAGAGGTGTATTTCAGAAGGTGGAGATTTTTGCAGTATCCTCAGCAACTGTTAAAGGTATCTGGCACATCGATAGGTGCTCAGGAATTTGTTGAATAAACGAATGACTATCTGGGCACAGGAACAATGAAAAGAAATACTGGTCTTACTCAAAATTAACTAACCGGAACAATCTTTTCTTGTTTCCGCGCCACCTTCATAACTAAGGGAGCTAGAAAAGAGTGATCCAAAAGCATCAGCCCTTTAACCCTCTAGCCTTAAAGTGTCAACCAAATACTGGAGCACACAAGTGCCCAGTGACCACCGCAGACTCGCCACTGTCCAGGTTCTGGCCCCACATTGCACAACTGCAATGGGCAAGAGAGGAAGGAAGAGACATAAACTGTGATGGGATATAAAGCAATGGAAGCCGGGCATGGTGGTGCACGCCTATAACCCCAGCACTCGGAGGCCGAGTCAGGAGGATTGCTGGAGCTCAAAACCAGCCTGGGCTACACTGTGACTTTCAGGTCAGTCTCAACTACATAGTGAGACTCTGTCTCAAAAAAACCTAAATAAATAAATAGATAAAATAAAGCAATGGAAAAGTTAAGGAAAGTCCTTAACTAGGAGTAACATCTTCTCAAGGCTGTCGTCGTCTGAGCCTCACCCTCCAGCTTACCTTGAACAGTTTTCAGAGAGAAGCCGTAGCTGTTCCCCTCCTTCTCCAGGTAGCAGAGCCGTGGCTGGGTCCAAGTCACTCCTCCGTTCATCACTGGGGCCACTTTAGCGTCATTCAAATCCAGCTCCTGGCTTTGACCCAGCTCTTTCAAGTCTACCCCTTTTTTCAGCGCTTTCTCATAGGAGTCGCCATCCAGAACTAGTAAAGTCACCGAATTCCCACTCTTTCTGACCAGATCCACCACCTAGGTAGGGGGAAGAGAGGTGACTTTAACAGTAATAACCCTCTATGAACTGCGAGAGGGAGCTACGTGTCGTCTGCCTCGCTGTGTGCGACCCGAATCCCATGTGGCGTCCTGGCCTCCTTCCAAACACCCCTAATCTCCAGGTGCAGATTAGGATGGGCCCCCGCACTGCTGGAATCCAGGGAGCACTTACAATGACTGCACTTTGCTAGAAAAAGATGGTGCTCCACAGCGCAACAGGTGCCCCCGTCCTGTGGGGACTGCGGAGTAGTGAACGGGGAACGGAGCAGCGTTGGAGGAGAGACCCTCGTATATTCACTGCATGAACATATCAGCATGCCAATTTATCTGTGCCTAGCTTCCTTGTCTGTGGAATGGTAATACGTGCCCTATGAGGTTGCGCTGAGGCTTTAACAGGATGAGAAATATAAAATTGCCTTGGCACGGTTGCTGGTGTATATGAATATTTTTTAGTTTTTGGTTAATTATAGGGGACTTGATTGACCAACACACATTATGATAAGTCCTTGCCAGCAGCAGGCAGGGAAAGAACCAAGTTCTACAGACCCCCAAAATCATAACTGGCAGAGAAAATGCCGAGGCTGAAGAGATCCCAGAAGAACCCTGAATCTCTCCCTCACCTGCAGGTGCTCTTCCTTGTCGACAAAGACACCATTGATCCTGAGAACTCTGTCTCCATCCAGGAGCCCAGCCTGCTCCGCTGGGCTGCCCTTTTCAATCACCCGGACCAGGTGCCCGTCGGTGTCCTTCTCGATTCTCAGGAAGAAGCCGTAACTCTGCCCTTCCGGTTTGGACAGTTTACATTCTCGGGCGTTGAACACGGCAGCCATTTCTGTAGTGGAAAAGAAAACAAATGCGAAGGAAAATCTAATCACAGGAGAACCGTGTCCGTCGTCTCCCCGAGTCCGTTCCGAACACTGGGGGTTAGGAGGCCACCATGCAGGACTTGCTAATGATATCCACGTCTGTTTCTCCACGGTTGACCTTTCCACTTGGGTCTCAGACCCAAATATTCAACCAGCTGCTGTACACAGATGCTTCGATTTCAGCAGCTCAAACCAAACTCCTCTTCGCCCTCCTGAGTGAAAAGAAATCAAATCCGATCACATGACGCAACATTTTTAAGATGGGCACTCTTTCATTCAAATATTTGAAGATTCTATCGAGTTCTGGGCATTGAAAATCAATCTGTGGAAAGAGATGCGTACTTGTCTATCCGAGACAACGCAGTTCTGTTTTTACAACATGTGGTGAATGTTATATTAAGAACAGAATGATAGTAAGAACATAACAGCGGGTCTTTAGCCAGCCATGGTGGAGCACGCCTGTAATCCCAGCACTTGGGAGGCTGAGGCAGGAGGATCACTGTGAACTCGAGACCAGCCTGGACTACAGAGTGAGTTCCAGGACAGCCTGAACTGCCTAGTGAAACCGGTCTTTGGGAGTAGGGAATGCTGTGAGAAGAATTAAGAATGGCTTCCTGGAAGAAGAAGTGAAGGAAAGGTTTAGCAAGAGTCAGGTGAGGTTGGACAGGACAAGGAAGACCTCAAACAATTAAAAGCTAAGCAAGCCATGCCTCAGAGATGCCTGATAGGTTGGTGACGCAAGAGAAAAGTGGTTGTACAGGAGCCTGGAGCTTCCCAGCAGAGCAGAGCAGATGCCCGATATTGTGCCTGTGACCAGGTGAGGGTGCTCCCCTAAGGCAGCTCACTGCCCTCCTTTCTGCTCTCCTGTTGCCCCACTGCAGGACCAGGGTCTTGACCCACAGGAGGATGACAGGACCAGTGTGGAAAACGACACCTGGGCTTTGGCCCCAGTCATCATTTAGAGGAAACCCGCCGGTGGCCCCACGGCCGCCTAGCTTAACGCTTTTCATCTCATGGAAGAACGGAGGCCCGCAACAGTAAGGCGGTGAGCTCACGTAATCACCTGGGTACTGTACACGGATGCCTCAACTTCAGGAGCTCAAACCAAACTTCTCTTTGCCGCCTGGCTGAAATTCAGTCCAAGTACAGGAGCCAAAACTTTTAACAAAAGCTGAGCAGAAAGCTGGAGTCAGCTCTTTAAACTGCTTCGTGTCCCCTCAGTTATCTGCCTGGGAAGCAGAACAAACCGCCCGTTCCCCTTCCCTGCTGGAAGCGCAGGAACAGAGGACCACACAGGGTTCAGCAGGAGCTGGGTGAAGAGCAGGTAGGCGTCAAAGTGCTCCGGGCTCCCCAGAAGCCAGCCAAGGGTGTGAGATAGCCATCTCCGACCTTTGCGCCCATAGAAACAGGGCAGTGCAGACTGGGCGAGGAGCCTCCCGCTGTCCCTATCATGACTTGGCCCCATCCTGTGACCTCTGCGAGGTCTGGGAGCTACGCGACTGACTAAGCACTGGCGGAACAAGAAACAAGGACTCCCCATGGAGTAACCTGCAAGATGGGGTTGCTTAGCATCTGCCCCACCCAAACCAGCCACAGAAAAAGGCAGTTTGCAAGGAAGGGGGAAAAGTACAGGGCATCTCGGTCTGTTTCCTCCCCGGCAGGCACCTTCTCCCTTCTCTCCCTGCCAGTCTCCACCCTGCATGGGTCGATGCTGTTTGCCCCTTGAATCCGCGCCTGTGTCCAAGCTCCCCTCTAATTCAGCTCTCAACTTCACACGGCTGAAAAGCCAAAAAGCCTCCAAGGAAAAAAAACAAAAAACAAAACACTCTTAAATAGTCAGTAATTGCTGGGCGTGGTGGCACACACACACACACACACACACACACACACACACACAGGCCTGTAATCCCAGCACTGGGAGGCTGAGGCAGGAGGATTACTGAGTTTGAGACAAGCCTGGGCTACCTACTGAGGTTCAGGTCAGTTTCAACTATGCAATGAGACCTTGTCTCAAAAACAAACAAACAAAAATATTCAGGTAATTGCCAGGGAGCTCCACCCAAATATTTAAAAATTTGAAACATGTCCTTAGAATAAAAAACCTGCTGGATTCGGTTTTCAGCAAGAGATGCAGCTGTCTGCGATTGACAGGTAATGTTCATTTCTGAAGCACTTACCTCTAACGCTCTGCTTATGCCCTGCACTGTCACCATGGCCACTAAATCTCTTCATAAGCCAAGAACAAAAAGAGAAACTGCCTCACCAGTAGAACGAAATCCTATGTTTAAGGATGGAGACGGAGAACATTTTCCTGTGTCTTACTGGAGACCCAAACATTGGATGTACAAGGAGACAGAAGTTATTTCTTGGCAAAAATCTCAAGCTGCCTTTTATTTTATAAATTGGCCAAAGTTTTCAAATAGCCTACATGAAATCACTCCAACCTGCCTCAGGCACTCAGGGTCAGAGGCTTTTTAAAATTTTTGTTTGGGTTTTTTTGGCACCGGGGATCGAACTTGGGACCTTGCGCTTGTGAGGCAGGCAGAACCACGGGGCTAAATCCCCAGCCGCAAAATTTATGTATTTTTATTTCCATTTTTTGTTTGTTCCAGAACTGGGGATTGAATCCAGGGTCTCCTACCTGCGGATAAATACTCTCATCACTAAGCTACATTCCCAGACCACCTTTTTTTTTTTTTTTTTTTTTTTAAATATTGAGGCAGGGTCTCACTAATTTGCCCAGGCTGGCCTCAAACTTATAATCCTCCAGCCTCACGCCCCATAGCTAGGATTAAAGCATGGGCCACCGTGCTCAGCTAAAGTCAGTTTCCTTTTGCCAGTGTGGCTGCAGCTGGAGTTAGAGCCAGTTCCTAACAGAAATGCTGCCATACCCGTGGGGAAACAGCTACTGCTGTGAGCCCTGCCTGCCTCCTGCCTTCGGTCTGTCCTCCCCACAGCTCAGCCACTAGACCACGGGTGGCGAACTTATGGCACCTCTATTATTTTTAAGACTAAAGATGTTAAAGTATGAGTTTTTTCTATACTAAAACCTCAATATTCAGGTTTAATTGCAGTGTTGGCACTTTGCAATAAATGAGAGTTTTGGGTTGCAGTTTGGGCACTCAACTCTGAAAGGTTCGCCATCACTTCGTGACAGGATTGATGCCAGTGTCCACCCTCGTAGATGGCCAGACTGAGCTGATTAAACTGTGAACACTCCCCGAGACCCATGAGAAAAGCTAACCAGGGCCCAAAATGCCTGATCTTACACGGGGCCCTGGAGCCCAAAAATATTTATTTTCTTTGCATGTTCCGTGTTACAAAGAGATGATTCTTCTAGGCACTTCAAGGGCTGGGCTCTGTTCCATCCACCTCCAGTCCTGCTTCTACCTGGTCCTCATCTTGGTGTTACACTGGCCCCTAAATCAGGGCCGTGATCCATCGCTTCAGTGAGCCTGTGTGATTGCTCTGCGACGGGGGCCTCGGACGCCAACACAGGACCTAACTCGGAAGGTCTCTGTCTAAGCGCCGGGTTTTCTTTCTTCGTTCCCCAGCCCATCTACTGCGGCCTGAGGAAATCTGGGCATCAGGCCCCCATGGGGGTGGCCAGCTAACTAGTGAAAACCTGAGTTTCTGTAACATCAAGTCAGCGATCACCCAAAGCTGGAGTCCATTAAATCTTCAGCAGGCTTTATTCCCTGATTCAAAAGGCCACAATGCTGGAAAGAAAGAAAGAAATCTATAACCTTTTCTGAACTGGGGGTGGATTGGGGGAGAGGTAATACTGGGTAACTAGGTTACTTATCTGTGGGAAAGAGAACAAAGCCCCAGCCAGCAGGCAGCAGAGGCTCAGAGGTGAGAGCCAAAAAGAATCTCCCCCCATCATTAATAAATCTTAACCCTACCTTTAGACCCCACTTTATTCCAAAAGGATTAGGTTATTGCTACCAGAAAAAAAATACACCGTAGCAAAGAAAATTAGATACACATTAGAAGTTAGGAATGCAAAATGATATGGTCAGCATAGACAGAACTGAAGTCACTAGGATATTTTCTATGGGAAAAGAACAGCTGTGGTGGGCCGGGGATTTGGCTCAGTGGTTCAGCCGCCTGCCTCGGAAGCACAAGAACCCAAGTTTGATCCCCAGTACCACAAA